CATGACTATACAGGTGGATAGATGGGTGGACAGGCTGAACTATTAGGTATGTCTATGCAGGAGAGGCTGGGGACCTCTGAGCGACAGGATATCCAGGTAAAAGGGGCAGGAGGCAAGGCTAGGCTCCAAGCCCCCTAGAGCCAGGAAAGGGAGGGAGCAGGAGAGGCTGGGGACCTGTGGAACAGCAGGATATCCAGGTAAAAGGGGCAGGAGGCAAGGCCAGGTCCCAAGTCCCCTAGAGCCAGGAAAGGGAGGGAGTGGCCAGGGACCACAAAGTGGCAGATTCTAGGTAGAAATTAGGTAAGGGAAGGGTGCAGAGGTTTCCAACAGTTAAGAGAGACAAACTTGTCTGTCAGTTTGTCATCCTGTGGGGCTTGTACATTGCTGTTGGGCTTGAGGCTGTGCCACTGGTGTTTCAGACACCAGCAGAGTTGCACATGGTACACAGGTTTCAACACAGCTTACAGACTAAGACAGACTAGGAAGAAGGAGGAGGACATCCACTTCTCAAAAACTGGCCAGGGAAAACCTTATGAATAGCAGAGAAACACTGTCTGATACATTACTGGGCAACTTTATAAATAGCTTGGAAACACTGACCGACAGTGCAGGAAGACTAGCCCCTTGGGTTGGAAGCTGCTCAAAATAGGACTGGGAAAGAGCTGCCTCATCAGAGTAGAACCAACCTTAATGATATGGATAAAGTAAGTTTTTCAGGACCTCCATGTGCTGACATGGCACAACTCAAATTGAGGAGAAACAGCTGCAAACAACCATTAATAATCAGAACATGGAATATATGAAGTATGAATCTAGGAGAATTGGAAGTTGTGAAAAATGAAATGGAATGCATAAAGATTGATATCCTAGGCATTAGCGAAATGAAATGGATTGGTTTTGGTCATTTTGAATCACACAACCATGTAATCTACTATGCTGGCAATAACAAATTGAAAAGGAATAGCATAGCATTCATCATCACAAAGGATGTTGTAAGATCTGTCCTGAAGTACAATCCTGTCAGTGATAGGATAATGTCCATAGGCCTACAAGAAAGATTTGTCAATACTACTACTATTCAAATTGACGCACCAACCGCCAAAGCCAAAGATGAGGAAATTGAAGAATGTTTATCAACTTCTGCAGTGTGAAATTGACCGAAAATGCAATCAAGATGTGTTGCTTATCACTGGTAATTGGAATGCAAAAGTTGGAAACAGAGAAGAATCACTGGTAGTTGGAAAATTTGGCCTGGTGACAGAAATAATGCTGGAGATCACATAATAGAATTCTGCAAGACCAATGACTTACTC